CGGTGTTCTAATGGGAACCGGTGTTTCAATGTAGCTAGACCGTTGCCTTTGAGTGGATTAAAATGAACCGTTAAAAATCCAATTCGGCCGACTTGAACGACCGGTTACTCGAAACGTCACAACCGTCAAACGGACATTTAAAACTCCAATTATAATTAAATGCGCCGCATGCGAAAACGCAATTAACAATTACGGGCCTTATCGCAAATCTGCTCTGTTTATTATTAATGCGAGGCAATTAGGGTGCACGAAATATCTGACAGAGGGCGACGGTGTAGCGTGCAGGGGCGTAGGGGGGCAGGGGGGAAGGAGGATCGATACACTTAATTTAATAATCAATTCCACGTCCGTCGGTCCCGGGTTTTTCCTTATTTTCCATAAGCGACGAACGACGGGGATCGTTATCGTTATGCCGGTAGTGAAATCGCGAGTTTCCCGAAGAAAATTGTGTGTTTTATAAGGCTGTTTAAGGGGGGCGATTGAAAAAGAAATTGGTGCTTTTTACGCAAGACCTATATACAGGGTGGCACACCTCATTCGCCTCGGTTGATTATACGAAAACGGAAAGATGTAGAAACAAAATATTTTATGGGTATATGCGGGGAGGCAATGTGCACAATTTAAAAATATTTTGAAATGTACAGGGTGGGTCAAATTCGACGCTTTTAAATGGAAACACCCTTTTCTATAGGAGATAGACAAAAACTAATATCGGTGTCTGGAGCTCAATTTTTGTCAAAAATATGATGGTGAAAACCGCATATCGATATCTGTTACCGATTCGGAGTTACGGGGTGTTTTTCAAAAATGTGCATTTTTAGCAAATCGCTGTAACTTTTTTGCTATGGAAAATTTTGTATTTTTATGAAAACATTTCCAAAGTATCTTTTTACGTAGAATTTAATGGTTTAAGTATAATTTTTTAAAAATTAATAATTTAAGAATTATCAATAGAAAATTTGATTTTTTATGTGGGACATCTTGTATATTTTTAATTTATTGAAAAGAATTTAAAATTACCTTTCCAAAAATATAACACACTTGATATTTTGCTCGATTCCTCTTCGAGATATAGAGTATATAAAAATTCGCCCGCTTTAAATAAGTAGGCTTTGAACGGCACCGGCTGTAATGCAAAAAAAAATCTAGCTGTGAGCATCAATTAAAACGAAAATAATATTTGCTATGAGAGATGCAGAATTTTATAACAATTTAAAATATATTTAACCAACATCAACACGTTTAAACTATATCTAATAACAATAAAAATAAATAGCAAATCAAGACATGAGATTTTGCTACAGGTGTTCGACATATCGACTGTCTTCTGTTATGAACAGACTGGACCGTTTTTGAACATTCATCGCGGAATTCATTAATTCAGTGGGGGTGAAAGGTACCCTCTCATAACTTCTAAGTATTTCTAATTCTTGTCTAGATTATACGGAAGAATAAGGAACCTTTATTCTTCCGCAAATATATCCATAGGATTATGGACACTAAGTCAGGCGGCCTCGACGGTCAACGGCTGAGATCTTGGTTAGCTATACAATTATTATTCCTGAAATTGGCTGTAAAAATTTGCTGATAACTTCAGCGTTCAGAGGCGGTGCGTCATCTTGCTGGAAAAAATATGTTTTCGAGTTCCATTAAGGGCATATCATCAATAAGGTGTCCAAGGCCTACTAGTTAAAAGTGACGAACTTTTAAAAATTCTGTATTTCGAAGGGGATTTTAACAAAATATCAAGTGTGCTATATTTTTGGAAAGGTAATTTTAAATTCTTTTCAGTTAATTAAAAATATAGAGGGTGTCCCAAATAAAAAATCAATTTTTCTGTTGGTAACTCTTAAAATATTAATTTTAAAAAAATTATACTTTAACCATTAAATTCTACGTAAAATAGTGCTTTGGAAATGTTTTCATAGAAATACAAAATTTTCCAAAGCAAAAAAGTTGCAGCAATTTGTTAAAAATGCACCTTTTTGAAAAACACCCCGTAACTCCGAAACGGTAATAGATATTGATGTGCGGTTTTCACCATCATGTTTTTGATGAAAATTGAGCTCCAGACACCGATATTAGTTTTCGTCTATCTCCTATAGAAAAGTCAGAGAACCAAGATCCATACCAAAGTTATGTTTTTTCTTACGGAACACCCGGTATTTTATTTAAAATTTGGATTTTTGGGCATAAAATAAGGCATTTATTATAAGGGTTTAATATGTTTAAATGCTTTGGTTTTTGAGATATTTAAAGATATTTAAATATGCATGCTATAATAAAAAAGTTTGTCAACACCCTGTACGTTATTTTTCAGAGTTAATTCTTGTACTGATTTTGAAGCGAGAGAAATAAACTTTACTAAAAAATTGTATTGCTTCCTTAAATGTATACAGGGGTATCAAAAATTGTTGGTCTATTTTAAATATTTATTTTACATAAAAACTTCGTTATTTCAAACTAACACTAAACACTATGTATTTTTTTAAACAAGTCTAAGCAGATTTAAATGCTCTTTCAAACTATATTAGAGTTTCCTGAGCCAAAATCTGAGCCATATAGATGGCTCAGATTTTGAATACAAAGCAATTTTTCAATAAAATGGTAATGAAAATGGCTGGTGTAGTAGCTATTTTCAAAATCGACATTAGTTTGGCGACAAAATCGACTTTATTTAAATTTATAACAGTTTACTTTTATTTAATTTACCTACAACAGTTTAATAAGTAAGTATTTGTTATTTTATCAAGAAAAATAAAGAAATACTTCTTTGATTTATATTATAATGACTTGTAGATATATTGGATTTTCTATAAAAGAACCAATTAAGGCAAATTCATTTTCTTCACTTCCAACGACAGGTTTCTGCCTAATAGGGTTTTCATATACCACACTATCAGCTCTGCGAAAGAGAAAAAGTAATTTTTTAAAGGAACGCTTGTCAAGAAAATTCCTATTTGGATATATTGGTGCATAAACTCTTCAGGCCAACAAACAATTGTCCTCACAAAATAAAATCGCTAGTAAATCCATTCCTTACGCCAGCAGATACTGCTTCATTTTTCTTGATCAAGTAATAAATACTTTCTTATTAACATTATTGTAGGTAAATTAAATAAAAATAACCTGTTATAAATTTAAATAAAGTCCATAAACTAATGTCGATCTTGAAAATAGCTACTAAGTGTCACTAGAAAATTGCAATGGCGACACCAGCCATCTTGATTACAGTTTTATTGAAGAATCGCTTTTTATTCAAAATCTGAGCCAGTTAGGTATAGGAAACCCCAATATAGTTTGAAAGACCATTTAAATCTGCTTCGATATATTAATAAAGTTTACTCCAGCCTAAATAAGCATCATTCTACAGCAACAATTTTCTGCGATTTTTCTTAGGCTTTTATTGATGGTGTAAATCATAAGATCCTAATTAATAAACTGCAGCACTATGGGTTCAGGGGAACATCTTTCGAATGGTTTAAGTCGTATCTGAGCAACAGAAGTCAACTTGTGAGGGTGGATACCACGTTGTCTTCTAGCAAGCCAATAGAATGTGGGGTACCACAAGGCTCAGTACTAGACCCTATTTTGTTTCTTCTTTTTATTAACGACATTGCTAACATAAACATCAGTGGCAAAATATGTCCTTTTGCGGACGACACTAGCTTCACTTGGAGCAACAAGGACGTCACGGCACTTTATAGGATTATATCAAATGATTTAATCACTATTAAATCTTGGTGCGACTCGAACCTCCTGAGTCTCAACATTTCTAAAACTAAAGCTTTGTCGTATAAAAACTCGTTGCAGCGTTTTGTACTTAACACCACCATTGACGTCGTAAAATCTGTAAAATACTTAGGGCTTGTTGTAGACAATACTCTGAAATGGGACATACATATCGAAGCTTTGTCGAAAAAATTGAGCTCTGCCTGTTTTGCATTAAGATCTGTTTCTAAGGAGCTTAACTTGTCGGTGGCTAGAACTGTTTATTATCCACTTTTTGAGTCGCACCTCAGATATGCCCTTTCATTCTGGGGTACGTGTTGTGCGACTCAATTTGACCGCATTTTCAAGCTCCAGAAGAAAGCTGTTCGATATTCACTGGGACTAAACCGCAGAACTCATTGCCAGGACTTTTTTTAAAAAATTAAAAATATTAACTCTTCCTTCCTTATTTGTATTTGAATCCGTTTGCCTAATACGAAAGCATGTATCAGCTTCTCAAGAAAGGCCATCTCACACTTACCCACTCAGGAACGCGGAGCAAGATCTTTATCTACCTACCCTACGCTCAGAATTAGTTAAAGATTCAATATTATACAACTCGAAAAAAATGCACAATCACCTGCTATTTGAAATCAAATCCATAACATAATTTTCTTCATTTCGCAAGGCATTAAAATCTTATTTACTAGACAAAGCTTTCTACGCCGTAAATGACTTATATTTTGATAATCGAATTTGATCTTGAAAACACTGGTCTAATGTTTGCTATCACTATATTTACCAATGATATCGAAATAAATTTATCGAGAGGTCATTGATATTTACTATAAACTAACTATATAATTTTGAATATTATTTTTATTTTTTTATTCTTTGATATTGTAAAGATTTATAAATGTTTATTTTAAACAATAAGGCTGACAATGTTATTTGTATAATGTTTTGTATTCTCTTTTGTTTGTTTACTTTGCTTGTTTACTTTACCTATCTTATATATATCTTCATAAATTTCTATATTTTGTCCAAGTTCTATAGAAGGAAGGTTCACAGTAAGTATTGAATGATCTGCTACTTTTTTTTTGATGTATGATGTATCTGATGGTTAACTTCTTTTTATCATTTGTTAATATAATATCAATAATTACTGTAGCACTAGTTGGAGTAATTCTTGTAAAATTTTATACAATTTGGGTCAATTCACTTCTTTCTAATATATTGTTCATCTGTTCAGCTCTTAATAAACTTACCTCCTTTTTCTGTTGTTCCAGGAGAGGGCAGCTGCAACTCGAATGACGGCCTCTCCTCCGATCTCCGCTTCAACAAATCCGTGGCCAGCGGTTCGGACGACGAGGGCCCCGCCAACAGCTCCGGCCTCTCCGGCGGCGAGGGCGACGCCTGCAAGAAGAAGCACCGGCGCAACAGAACCACCTTCACCACGTACCAGCTGCACGAACTGGAGCGCGCCTTCGAGAAGAGCCACTACCCGGACGTGTACAGCAGGGAGGAGTTGGCGATGAAGGTCAATTTGCCCGAAGTCAGGGTTCAGGTGGGTGGTACTTTGTATTTGGTACTAGTAGTTGTTTTTAGAAAAAATATAATAGTTTTTTTCCAACCATTTTTGGTACGGGTACGCTTATGCAGAGTAAAGAAAATGCGTTCCATCTAGTGATTGAAGGTTCTATAGATTGAAGGGAATGAATCGAATCTATTTCTCATATTGAATCAACTCTTAAACACCCTCTGCACTATGCCCAACATATTTCACGAAATATTTCTGGAAATACTGGGTGTCCCAATATTCCGAAGACATAGTATTTTTGGAATCAAAATAAGTTCATTAGACAAAATTTACCTCTATACAAAAGTGCTTTGTTTGTCCGTTAGAGGGCATTAAACTTTAAAAAAGTAATAGATATTTACGATATAAGTGAGTTAACAGCACCACTAAGATGCGTGTGTGAAAGTTGCACAACGAGTGTGTAGCACGAGTTGTGTAACACCACAAGTATCGTAATGAAGTTAACTCGCGTGTATTGTACAATATTTTATCTACGTCTAACTATAAAAACAACCAATGAATTTTAAAAATTATTGTACTTAACTATACCGGGTGTTGCATCGTCGGACGGGACATAGGAAACCCCATGTAAATTTTAATGGGGCAATTATTGGCTTTCTTAATTATTTTAGAGAATAATTCTATTTAGGTTTAACGAATAGCACTAAAACCCACATTCAAAAGAATAACTTTAGATATTTTTGATTAGCTCGTTTACGAGTTATCGCCGATTTCTTTTTAAATATTTCTCCTTTCTTATGGTCCTGTATTTACTTATGAGCACCAATCAAGGTAAAAGATAACTGTCAAATGAAGTTGTCATTTCAGAAATTTACCTATTTAGTGCTTTATTATTATTGAAAACTCACTCCTACATCGGAAATCTTAAAGATGTATTTATAAATACAAATTAATATGAATTAATGTAAAATAAAGTAATCAATTACAAGGTTAATTAGAGTATTATTACCTTTGAATAAGAAGACTAAGGAAGGAGCATATCAAAAATCTTAGGTACACCGCGATGGGCCTCAAATATGGCCGACTTAAATTCCGGTTTATCAGTGTCGTTCTAAGTTTATTTAAAAAATGTAAAACTATGATGTAGGGTAGACGTGGGGTAGACTCAATAATTTGTTGTTTTATTTTACGTTGTGAATAAATGTTGGTAGTTATTAAAATTGTTATAAAAATAAATAATTCTAATAAAAATAGATAAGTTATAATAAGTATTTATTAACACAAACATCCGATACGCTACTGAAGCAGGTAAGTCAAATTAACGTATCTAAATTCTTTGACATCTAATCTTTGACAAGTAATATATAAAAGCTAAAAATGCAAGAAAAATATATAATTTAGTTAATTTAAGTGAATTTCATAAATGATCGGTTTACTACACGTATGTATATTATATAGTCACTTACTAGCGAAAAGTTGTTCCATTATTTCACTCAATTTTTGCCGAGATCTACCGCACGCTACACAACCAACTATATTAGAGTCTTTTTCGATAAATCGCGATAGTGTCACTGTTAATTTAAGTTCTGCCACAATTTCCATCTAGATTTACTACCTTTATACAACTATCAGTAGTAGAATAAATAATAAATAACATAAAATAAGCTCCGTAAAGACTGACAAATCCACAAAATTTCAAATCAAATTCAAATGTGTCAAATGAATCGTCAAACAGAACTGTCAAAGATCCCCACCCTAGAGAGCTTTTATGGTGGCTTTTCCGCCCACCATGCATGAATACATGGATAGCATTATGCTCCTTCCTTAGTCTTCTTATTCAAAGATCTATCCTAAAAATCAATTACCTTAATAACCTTTGTTCAAATAATAACACCATACATGGCAATGTTAATATGGCAGTAAATAATATTGATATCACTAGTTTAAAAAATTGGCGCCGGGAGGCACGTATAGCCGCCCATACTAAAATATGTTAATATCTCGAAAACTGCGACTTTGACTGATTTTGATGTTATTAGAAACTAGGTTTATCCCGCGACTACGTTCGCGACACCTCGAATAGTTCATGCATTGATTTAAATGATTTACTTTGTATATAGAGCTAGTGAGCCTTACAAATGCGCTATTTAAACTATGTTTTTAAGAGTTTTACAGCTACTCGTATTTCATATGAAAGTTATCAATTGTCGATTTTCTGGGTATTATACAGGGCAAGTTTTGAATAAGTGCAAATATTTTCAGGGCTGGTAGATCTCGATAAAAAAAACATATTTTCTCTCTTTACCTTTTTTCAAATAATTCTTTCGAATTACTTTAAAAATTTCCAAAAAAAATATTTTTTGCTTAAATTTTGAGAACCACTGCAGCTTTTCGGGTTTTTCTGTCTTGTAAATTTAATCTACTACCTATCGATGTTGCCATATTATCAAGAAATTATTGGTTTTAACTAAAAACTAAAAAAAAAACCAAAAGGTTTTTCAAAAAATTCCAAATTTTCAAAAAAAAATTCGCCAAAAAACTCATAATCGTGTTTCTGGGGTCAAATATACCTACTAAATAAAAAATGAATTTCAAAAATCTCTTCTAATTCTTTTTGTAGGATTTCATTCTTCTAGACCACATAGTAAGGAATTTTCATACAACAAATTGTTCCGACATAATTTTACTCTCTAAGAGGATGAATTTCCTAAAATCGCTTTGTGTAGCTAATTCACTAATGTCGTTTAAACGAACCTTTGTTCTAATATTTATGTATATAAAGCTGGCTGTATGAACTGATCCCTAAAATATCTAAAAACGTGATATATAATCTAACTGACAAACCATTGACAATGACAAATAATTTATTTCTGGAGGTATGGTGTGTAGGTGTTTTTCAGGTATGTTTTATTATTTTAGTCAATTTACACAAAGAAATAGCCATTCAACAATTTATAAATACTTCATAACAAATCTAGACATATATACCTTTCATTTAAAAAAAGAATCATCAAGATTGGTAAAGCAGTTTCGGCGGGATGGATGTAACAAAAAAAACATATATAAAAGCTCAAAAGCCCTTTGAGCTTTTATATATATATATATGGATTTTGTTGCAAATATTATTCTTAATCTTAATTTGAAAGCCGCATTTCGCTAGCTACTGTAATTTGGGAGTTACGATTTTTTAAAATTTTTAACCCCCTCCTATACCCCCTTACCAACCTCCCACCCCCACCAAAAACTAATGGCCAGATTCTCGGGTGCCACAGTATTTTTGTGCCAAATTTGGTTAAAATCGGTTCAGCGATTTTTGAGTTATCGTGTTACAGACGGCAGACAGACAGACAGACAGACAGACACCACGAACATATTTTGTATTTAGGTCATTTATGACCCAAATAACTCATTTTGAGTGGAATTAAAAAATTTTTTTTTTGCCGATCCTAATAGCCTACCATACCTATTGGTATGCTCGGCTAAAAATGAGCGATTCGGAAAGTATTCCCTCTGACATTGAATAAGAGGCATTCAGAGCCATTTCTGGATTGCTTCCAGCAAAATCGAAACAGAAGTATGAATATACATACTCTAATAACTATGGTTTCCATTTAAAAAAACCTATGTTTGTGTCATATGTCAAAAATGACAGGCTTTAGAAAAAAGCGGAGGACACAGTCTCATTAAGAATGTGGTGATCTACAACTTTTATCTGAAAACATTTTGTCTAAAATAGCTTATAATGGAATTAGGGACAATTTTTAAAATAGCCGAAATTTGTTTTTTTCAAGATATCTAGTAAGCCATGAGCTTTTTCAAAAATCTGAAAGGCGCATATTTATGACCCCACAAAACTGCAATTCTTTCCCCATTTAACCGACTCTCTATCTCCAGTAGTTTCCGAGATACCCATAGAGAACATCGTAGGAAACTCACCCTGTATATATAAGTGCTTTAACATTTGACTTTCACAAAACTCAAGAAAAAGCACGGGGGTAAATATTTTCCATATCTACAGACAACAGATTTTCCTTTCGTAAAATTATACGTACCACGATGATATTGTGTTGACAATATCATCAACAGATATTTTAGAAATGTCTAGGTTTACTTATTTCACTGAGATTTATGAAAAAAAAGTCCTTTGCCTCGAGTATAGATACCGACAAAAATGGAGAATTTTAAAAAAAAATAATTGTTTCTTTCTGCTTTCTGATTTTTTTGTCAATATTAAATAAGCAATGCTTCCTTTAAAATCGTATACAGGATGTTTTAAAAAACATGTGCCACTCTCGTGGGAAGATTCTTCATGTAAAAATAAGATTTATTTTTTATCACAACATAGGTCCGATTCTGCTTTGTTTCTTTGATACAGGGGGCTAAAGTCTTCATTTTTGTTGGATTTATTATAATTTTAACTTTTACCTTCAAAATTTCATTCGCAGCAATCGACACGAGAGAGAATTAAAAAAATATTGACTCAAAACTGACAACTAAAGAGACAGCTTTATTTATTTGTCAAATTACATAGAAAACGCCAACCCAGCACAATATTTTTTCTACCCGTAATAAATTCATTGAAATAATTATTTCTGAATATTTTTTAAAACGTAACTCGCTATGGAAAAATATATTGTTTTATACACAACGATAAAATTGCATTATCGTCTCCCGAAATTAATCTTTTCGGTCTTGTATAAAAATAACTATTATATCCGAATTTTTAATTAAAACATCTTTAATGTTTGCACATGGTAAAGAAGTATTCATATTGTTCGTAATACGAAAATCACTAGATATAGTTCTAAAGACATTTAATTAATCTTGCAAGTTTGTCATGACCCCACGCACATAATCATTCACCTCCCAATTAATTACCTACTCTCTCCGTACCAATCGACACCGTTCTCCCCCTACCTCACCCACTAAACCTCCTCCAGGCCGGACTATCTCCAATTCCCATTATCAATTATCACTGGTCGTTTACGCGTCTCCGGCCTACACCTCCGTTAGCAGGCCACGGGCGA